CTCTGTTTATGTGGTAGCATGAAAAAACATTGCAATTCTTGATGCTATAACAGTGAAGTCAACTATTTAGGTCGTGATCTACTATGAGTCTGTCGTGATCTACTATGAGTCTGTCCAAAGAATTAGTGGGAGTACTGTGTATAATTTTATAATGTAAAGGTCAGTGCTCAATACTGAATAATTCCTCAGGCGCTTTACAGGCTCCCCACTGTCGCGCGGGCTCCACCCAAAATGTATTTAAAAAATATATGTCCCCCCTCCCCTTGTGTCTAATCACAGGCCCTGTAATGCGAGCAAAGTTCATGAATACTTCTGGAAATTAAGCTACTAAAACAGGAATTTTTGACCGAGAAAGTTGACAGAGCTGGCGAACTTTGATTTGCCTGTTTTTATTTTTTTTAAAAAAAAATTCATCTTCCCATGAGTGCACGCCAAGCATTGGTTGTCAACATTTTCGATCAAAATTCCTTGTTTGAGTAGCATGATACATCGAGTACTCAATTCGGGGTAGATTCAATGAATCTGATATAGAATTCATGCATTTAGTTTGAGATACTTGGACTCTATATTAAATAATCGTATTTTGCCGGGTTTAAAATTACTTTTATTAGTTTGGAGCATGTTTTAGAATTGTTTATATACGGTTTAAATGACAAATAGATAGAAAAGAGTGATGGATAATTAAGTAGTATTTATGGGATAAACAAAATATGTGAATAAAAAATGACTTCAGTGTTCATAAACATGAGCCAAAACATAAGTTGAATTGTCAATGAAAATAATTACTTTTGGCAAAATAAGTAAATTCAAAGAAAATTCGGACTCACTTTCAAATATGACTTCTGAACGTAGAAGTACAACGAAGTCTGCTGCTGCGTTAGAGGCTGAGTTAGAAATTTTTATGGGAACTAGATCACATAGTTGTCGTACTTGGAGAGGGGTAACACAGCCAATTCTCAACTCAAAAAGAAAAACCTAGCTATGCCTCCAAAATTAACAGTTTTAATACAAACGTCACAATATTTCCGTAATCAAATTAAAGCTAAGGTCACCACTTTCCGAAATAAATTTTGCTGAAGAAACTGAAAATCATAAATAGTCTAGTCAAGGATCTCATGTCTCAACACTAAAGACAACGATAGGCTCAATTGGAACTAATAATACTCATGGAAATATCGCTGAAACCACGGAAAAATCCTCTAATTCGTGATTCTCAATTTCCAAATGAGGTTCCTTCACATCATCGTCTCACTCTCACTTGAAAATTGTCCAACCTATAATGTAGGGATAGAAGACTAAGGGGGAGTTGTTGAAGTTGCTTGTGAAAATGGACGAGGTGATTGTTGGGTGAAGAGGGAGAAAAAAAAAAAAAAGATGTTGACGATAGAAAATTCTTACATGTGGACTCGAACTAATTTCTTTATCATGTTTTCAATATTGTTGATCGTCTCTTCTAGTTTTGACCGTTGAACATTCTGTTTGTGAGTCAAATTTCATTCATGTTCTGAAAGATTAAGTATTTTCAGATTGTTTGAAGGAGAAATCGATATCTAGAAATAACATCTATAATCTGGTAAATTGATGAATCTTGATTGAAAATGGCAGTGGTTTAGCCTCATAAACATATTAATTAATGTTATTATTAAATTGAAGATAGGAACGTAAATTCGGGAGATGGCTACTAGTCATTTTTTTGTAACTTCTACTTGTGTGGTGTGATTGGATTCGGCTCGGAAAATTATATCATGCTATCATATTATATACTAATATTAAATAAATTATAAGAAATTTTAGTTAACATATCTTTTTTATTAAAGAATATTATTGACTTCTTTCTTTTCTTTTTTTTTTTCCCTCTTTTCTCTCTAATTTATAACACGTTATTAACACGAAGTTCTAGCCAATTGAGTTAACAAAATTTATTTCTCTTTCTGCTTACAAATCTCTAGCTAGTTGAAATAGAAAAAAATAAAAATTCCTTCAATCAAAGAAGGACATGAGGATCTAGCTAATTGAGTTTACAAAAGAGCTCCTTTTTTTTTTTGGTCAAAGAGAAGTTCAGTATTCTTTTAACTTTAAATTGTATAACAAAGTGGTATATTTATTCGATTTGGTTATATTGATTTGACTATACTAAATTATGATAGATAAATATTTGTTTGAATATAATTGTTTTCCTATACTATTGTTTCAGTACAATATTCCAAAATAATATTGTATAATTATTATTTAAAAAGAAACAATTTAAATCAATATTTTAGAAGAATATTATAGCATTGCTTGAGAAGGAATATTATATTTGTATTATTTTGTTACTTTCGAAGAGCACAACTTTACAATATTTAATATTCTTCAAAATATATTAATTTTCTTAAATATAGCACAAATATTCAATGATTTATATGCTCCTGAAAAAGCATAACTAAAAACTATATTTATTTTAAACAAATATGATATTGATGTTCTCAAAGAAACGCAACCCTCATTATATAAATATTTCAGAAAAACACGGTTTTATTGCTCTTGAAGAAACATAAAATATTTACATACAATTCAATTATATAAATATTCTAAAATTTAGATAAATAAGGCGTTGATGTTTTGAAAAGGAAAAAACACAATTCAATTATATAAATATTCTAAAATTTTAACATTATTCCTGAACTAGAATCCATGTGTACGTGTAAATATTCTAGAAGAATATTACGTTTAATCTAGTGAAGAGAATGTATTCTCAATAATGATAACAACTAATGTTAATAAAGTATTATGCAAATCTTTTCCAAGGCTCCAGAATAGTCAATTTATGTGATATGGAGGGAACGAATTTACTATTGCTAATATTTTTTTCTCCACTTAGGGTAAAATAAAATTAATGTTTTTTAAAATGTGTATAGTAGTGCACAATTAATACTAGCATTAGTATATTGAAGCATGTCTTACATTAAACAAAAAGTTCAATTTGATTTTATTATTGGACACGATACCATCCCAAATCAATAATGATGTGAAGAATTATTAATAATTTGAATGAATATTCGATGAAGAACAAGAAGATTCTTCAATCCAATGAATTCACATACAATGTTTGTTCTTAAGTAAAATTGGGAGTAAATTCATATAATCTTGAAAATAAATTAGGGTTAAAAGGGGCTCTGTCATCTTTCATGTAGACATCTATATATTATTTGTATATATTAGATATGATACTTCTACTAGATGATTGCATGGTGTTCACAACTTGAAATTTGCGAAATTACAATTTAAATTTTAAATTATGAGCATGATTTTTAAATTATACAATTAATATAGTGTTTCTTGTGAATACTAGTGAGTCTACATCTCAAACTTTGATAAATGTTGTTTGCGATGAAGATAAATAATTAACACAATTGATTGTTAAACGTCTCCAATTAATTTTTTAGCCATTATTATTGAGAACAAAGCAATTCTCATTTCAGTTTAGGGAATGCTATTATGCATCGTGCCAACATTAAGTTTTCCCTGCTATAATTAGCTTATGGTCAAAACCTAATATTTTCAATCTAATGATTTTCAAAAGTGCAATGTATGTATAATTGCTCGACTGTGGTATGCTGAGAAGAATGACAGATTATTTGCATTATATAAATGACATGCCTAAAGCGCCGTGATATTCGATTTTAAAGAGAAAAACTCTGGAAAAAAGAAGCAATTAAGAAAGATGATCCAAATTAGAGGGCGTATATTTTTAGAAAGTACATAGACATAGCTAATTATAAACCTCTGTAAGAGGTTCAAGTACTTGAAACATTGAAATTGAAGTTATCTCAACAAATTATTTCATTATGAGAAAGAAATAGAATCAAAAAGAAAAAGTTATCAACAATATTTTTGTACATAATTTACAGCTCCATATTATGAATAGGGAAAATATCAAAATAAATTTGTTGGAAGTATATCGATCGAAAAAAATAATTTAGACAAATGAAATAACACAATTCTAGTAAAATTGAAATTACTAAAAAAAAGTTGAATTTTCTAGACCTCCAGTCCGAAAATCTGAAGATGCATACTTATGCGAAAAGGAAATGGGAAAAATTAAGTCGTAATGTGTGATACACGAATCTCAACATGATGAATTTCGTAAAGACAGTGGTGAATGCGATCATAAGTCTATAATTTCTTATCCTGACCGTGCATAAAATTTAAAATGCGATTATAGTTAACTCATCTGGCATGACAGTTAATGTTATACCTGAAAGATTTAATATACTCGAAGCATATAATTCAAGTGATTGTATTGTGAGGGAAATAAATACGCGTTGTACTCTTTTCTCCTTTACTAATATTTTGTCCCATCAAATTTTCCTACAAGGTTTTTAGTGAGGCCACTTTTGATGAGTATTCAAAGGAATAAAGTACTCTTTTTTTTTTCATTGGGATTTTTTTCACGAGATTCTTCATAATAAAGTTTTAAAGAGACAAATTCTTTGTGTAATGATGTCTATAGCCTATAAGATATTTACTCTCAAAATAATATTTTTTATATATAATACAAATTGTGTACGATTCCCAAAGAGAACCCAATTTACTTTTCAACACATCATACTGACTAACAATAAATAAAGATTGATAAATATGATCTATGAAGACGATATTACTTTAACGTTGTAACAAGACAAGACAACACAAAACATGCTTCACCAAAATTGCAATATTGAAATCAGGTGAAGTAATTATACTCTTTTTCATTTATTGAAATCAGGGTAAGTAACTGTACTCTTTTTTCCTTCGATCAAGTTTTGTTTTAGTGAATTTTTTTTTTTACAAGATTTTAATGAGAAAACATTTTATTACTTTAAATTATTTGTAAGGGTGAAATGGACAATCGAATACATCAGATCCAAAACCTACGTTACAATGAAAACCTTCGACTAAGCAAAAAAGAGGAGAAAGAAAAAGAAAGCTCAAGTACTCGTACTTGGTACTATTAAAAGATCAAACCTAACACACTGTGTTTAATCTGAATTTCTAGACATGAAATTCTTTAATTCTTGTATTACTTTGCCACCCACTTCTGAGAATGGTTCATTTGTAAAGAAACCATGTTGCTTTCCTTGGAACACAGCACAATGAATTTTCTTTCCCTTTTCTTTCAATTTTTTGGCATAATCCTCAATTCTATCCTTCATCAACTCACTTCCTCCTACAATTACCATTATCGGGTCAAGTTTTATGGATTCAAGACTTGGGCTTAAAGGCCCAAAAGGGTTTGCAAATGGATGATCTCGAGTGCTCCCATCTGGTAACGACAACCTCCAAAATCTGTCAATAATTAAAAAATAAAATAAAATAAAAATAGACTTGACCCTAAATTTACTTGAAGAAAAATCTGTTTAGCACGCCATCAAGATTTAAGAGTGATTACTTTTTAAAAAAATATAATCACCCCTCTGGTCAATATAATTTAATTATAAATAACTCTTTTTCAATCTCGATTCATTACAATATAAAAAATAATCTCATCTTCCTTCCCACTAAGGCCACGTCTCTATCATACTAAAGTTATTATCATGAAAAAAGAAATCAAGATTCCACAATAGTGTATATTCACATTAATAATAATCATGTGATTTGATTTGATTTGATCATGTTTAATGTCAATATTCTAATGTTTTCCACATTAACACAACAAGCATACAAGATTTTACATTCATTTTTCTTTATTAATTAACTAATTTATTTTACCAATCAGGTTTAATGTCCCATAAAATTATATTTTTCACCAATAAAAAAAATACGTTTTTATCCACTAGTAATGGTGTCAAAAATAGAATTTAGGGAGATGCATGTAATTATCTTAATCATATCGAGTCTAACGCATTAAATTTTGCAAGTAGAGTAGAAATAAGATTATTGGGCTATTTGCCGTTTTGTCACTTTTTTATTAGAATTGATAAAATAATTGTGAGTTTATAAATATATAGTTAAAATTAAAATTTTATCAAATAAGCGCACAGAAATATTGTATCCTTACCCGTCAAGAACCTGCAAATTCAGAAATGGTTCGGACAACCCTTCTGCCTCAGACTTGGTTCTCACAATCCCACCGAAAAATGGCGCCAACAGCACATAACCACGCACTCTAACCGGTGCCAACTCCGGTGACCCAGGGCCTAGCTTTACCGCCAGATGATGTGCCAGGTTTCCGCCGGAGGAATCACCCACTATAAAAACCCTATCCAAGTCAACCCCATCTCTCACCCATGCATCAGAATTATTCCCCGCCAGAATTTCATCTTGCAGCCACTTGACAGCACTCAGTGCATCATCCACGGCGGCGGGAAGGCGATTCTCCGGCGCCAGACGGTAGTCAGGCGCCACTACGAGTGCTTGTAGCCCCGAAGCGAGGCGGAGGCAGCAATTTTGAAAGTTGGGCCACGTCCGTGAGCCTACAATAAAGCCACCGCCGTGGAGGAAGAAGAGAATGGGAAGCTTGGTCGTGGGATTGGGTGGCGACCGGGGTTTGTAGAGGCGGAGGTGGAGGTCGTGTTTCTTATCATATAGGCAGTCTTTCCAGATTACAGAACCATCGTCATGGACTTTCATGGGGAAAACTATGTCTTTTTCTTCAAGTCTGAAAATGGAACCATTACTAAGAATCTGAAGAATTCCTAGGTGGTCTTCTACTACATGAAGAAGAGAACCCATAGATCTCTTTTGATAGAGGCTGGTCAAGAAATGAGCAAAAGGGAGCCTATAAATAAGCAGGGACTTGGATGATATTCCTATATTTTGAATAAGTAATTTTATTTATTTTTACCTATAAATTAATAAGCAAAAATTTATTTTACCTATAAATAATTATTTTACCTACCCGTATGATATCCATACTGATAGTTTAATTGATGGTTGGCACCATAGAATAGAGGTAATGAAAAAAGTTAGTTAATTTGTTACAGTAATCGCTAAGAATGATTTAGGGCCCCGTTCGGTACAGTTTAAAATCCAATTAAAATTGAAAATATGACCGTTATTGGGTCTCACTCGTCTAATAAAAGTCAACAATAACGGCTAGTTTTTCAATTTTAATCCAATTTTAATCTCTACCGAACACGCCCTAGATCTAATTCAATTCATGAAGAATGTGCTAGATTTCACCACTACAAAAAGATTACAAAAATGGCATATCACTACCGATGAAGATAAGGAAGTTGGCCATTATATCAAAAATAATAATTATAAGCCATTCACTATTTCCTTTTACAAGATACATAGAGCACTGAAATAATTGAAAGCCATATATTTATATTCAATGGTTGATGATGTATCTTGACCAATAGATTTTTAATCCAACATGGCAACATATGATTCAAAACTTAAAAACTTTTTGCCTTTGAAATGGGAGCAACGATCAATAGAAAGTACAAAATAGCATACTTCCCCCCTCTTATTCCTTCTATTTTCTTAGTTTTTTTTTTTGGTAAAGATTTCTGTTACGCCCCTCACGAAGAGGCTCCACATCACCACCAACATGACAACCAGCTAGACGAACTACCAAGGCGCCCACTTCACGTCACCTCCAACATAGCCGAAGCGAGGCCATACAAGATATAGTCGAGGTGATGCGACATTTCAATTGAGGTTCCATGGCCAAGTCGACCCTCTATTAGCGCTGAAGCTGAAGTACTATAAGCATCATAGGGATGAAGTGCGAAGGTCATAGCATCTACACTTACTAGACGCATCTTCCAGTACACATCATTAAAGGATCTACCAGATAGGATTCACTTATATACGATTGATTGATATGATGTCTCTGTAAAAGGCGCGCAAATGTCAAATCGCTAGTCTATGTTTCAGAAGTCTAAATAGACTCTAGAATGGCTACTCGTCAGAAGCATTAAATTTTTGTGAGCCTAAGATTGACGAATTAATACCTAGAAGAGGACCTCGATTGTCAAGATCACTCCATATGTCATTTCATCCAACGGTTATAATTTCTCTCATATCACTATTAAAGCTCACACATTGTATCATTTGAAGGTAATTGAACTTTATGCATTCAACTATAAACTTTTCTATTTAATAATTAAATCGGATCTTTATCCGCTCTTATATTTAATAATTTGTATCAACTAGCAGCCATAGAGATAAAGACTTCAAAAGAGAAGGAAAGGGACATTCTTCAATTTTTTACCAAGATCTTTCATACATCAATGTAATTAAAGTTTACACTTATTATGTATTTAATGCTTAGTAGGTAGGAGACTTGCATATAAATATATGAGCAATTATATTAAATTACTAATTAGTGGAATTCGTGGACGTCTCTTAAATCATTTTCAATATATCATTATCTACTCGGTAAGTAACACATAACGTTCCCACATTTCATTGTTATTGTGGAAAACGTTCATATCTTTCATTTTTTTGGCATTTTTACCCTTATTTCCACATTTCATTGCGCAAAAGGTCAGTTTCACCTATTTTCTCAATTAAAAATTATGAAATGACGAATATGTCACTCTCTTTAAATAAAACAAAAAAGAAAAGGAAAAATCTAATTGCAATCACAGTCTCAATTTTTTTTAAAAAATGCAAATAAGTCACAAATAAATTATTAAAAGGATAATTAGTATATAATGTCCATATCTTTCACCATTATTGCGAAAAATGTCCCTACCTTTCATTTTTTTTTTTTTTTTTGGCATTTCACCCTTAATTGCACATTTGATTGCGCAAACCATCATTTCTATCTATTTTCATCCAATTTCTCAATAAAAAATTGTGAAATAACGAATATACATTCATATTTAAATAAAAAAACTAAAGAATTAATTGCAATCATAATCCTAATTTTTTTTAAAAAAAAGTGCAAAGAAGTCCCCCATAAATTATTAAAAAAAGTACAAACGAGTCCTAATTAAATTTATTTAAAATTAAAAAAAATGCAAACAAGTCCCAAATAAATTATTAAATAATTAGAAATAAAAAAATATTTTTTTATTTAAATATGAGGATATATTCGTCATTTTACAGCTTTTTATTGAGAAATTAGATGAAATTGGATAAAAATGATGTTTGAGCAATCAAATGTGTAATTAAGAGTGAAAATGTAAAAAAAAAATGAAAAGTATGGACCTTTTTCGCAATAACGGTGGAAGATAGAGATATTATGTACTAATTACCCTTTTAATAATTTATTTGTGATTTATTTGCACTTTTTAAAAAAATTGGGACTGTGATTACAATTAATTTTTTTCTTTTTCTTTTTTTATTTATTTAAAGAGAGTTATATATTCGTCATTTCTTAATTTTTAATTGAGAAAATAGGTGAAAATAACATTTTGCGCAATGAAATGTGGAAATAAGAATGAAAATGCTAAAAAAAGAAATGTATGGACGTTTTCCACAAAACGTTATATGCTAATTACCCTACAAATTAACTATAACAAGTGACGTTTAATATCAGTTTTAAAAAATCTTATTCAACGAAGTAATATTATTCATAAGCACCAACAATGATTAAACTTCTCTGTGGCAAGTCATTGTCACATTCTCTAATGAATAAAAATGTATTACAACTTTATTGAAGATTGTAACAATGACTCACTATCACATAGACTATTGTTATTTGTTCATCAGCGTTACTTACAAATAGTATTATTCAATTAAATGACACGTATCCTTATATTTGACTAATCTTGTTATTTAATACAATATATATATTGCCACATAAACCGATATTAAACACCACGAATACTAAATAGCATTACTCATTAAAATAAATAGATGTCCAACCAAAATCGCACACATCCACCGTGTAGCTGCCATAATAAAATTTATGCTCTTGGTAAAGTAAATAGCATAGTATTAGAAAATATTTGATAAAAGAAAAATAAATATTTTATCTATTTATCATTATACAAACATAACATTTTCTCAATACTTTGGAGGCAGTGAATATTATTGCGGCATTGAGCCATAAATTATGCATACCCACCCCAACATCTATGCTGCGGATTCTTAAATAACAATTTTTAAGCCTTTACTAATGTATCAGCAACACCAACCAGTGAAAAATAATAAATCTACAATTCAATCGGTAGTAAAACAACTCCAATTAAATAAAAGAGAAATAGTTGATCAAATGTTACAAGAAAAATCCAACATAGATACTCAACTAAAGTGTGAACCGAGCAAAACAAGGAAAAATCAATATAATTTTTTTCAAAAAAAAATTAAAACCAAAAAATAATATGTAGTAAACAAGACACGTAAGGAGATCGTATGGCAGAAGCAAAAAACTTAGAGCATGTTTGAGTCTCATTTTTTGCAAAAAAAATATTTTTAAGCCTTTACTAATGTATCAGCAACACCAACCAGTGAAAAATAATAAATCTACAATTCAATCGGTAGTAAAACAACTCCAATTAAATAAAAGAGAAATAGTTGATCAAATGTTACAAGAAAAATCCAACATAAATACTCAACTAAAGTGTGCACCGAGCAAAACAAGGAAAAATCAATATAATTTTTTTTCAAAAAATTAAAACCAAAAAATAATATGTAGTAAACAAGACACGTAAAGAGATCGTATGGCAGAAGCAAAAAACTTAGAGCATATTTGAATCTCATTTTTTCCAAAAAAAAAAATGCATTTGAAATAGTGATTTGATAGAGAATTTGTGGTTAAAAATAGGAAAAAAATTTGGGTTTGCGGGTAATATTATTTTATTGAAAAATGTGATTAAAAATAAAAGAGAAAAATGTATTTTGAAAATAATGAAAACCAAACAACGCTTCATATGAAATCCATAATCATAATCATTGTCTCATACGTGGTGGAGATCTCAAAATAAACATGGTCATCTTTAGCATGAAACATCAATGTGGGATAATGCAAATATATGAGAATAGAAAACCCATTTATTCATTAGAGATAATTAACTATATCATTGTTTAAAGTTCAGTGACCAGATTGCAACTAGCTTGAAAGTATAGTGACCTTCAGAGTTATTAATTTACTGATCAAGCAGTACACGCTGACACTTAATTTTAATCGTTACATCAGTGAATTTCATTAGGCAAGTTAATGGAATCCAAGCAAAGTGACTTGAAAGTTAATGGAATCTTGTTTTGAAAGTCCAGCTGATTGTGTACATATGTATTTCTCATAGTTATAAAACCTGGATCCGAAAACCAGTGACCCAAGCTCTTGCCCAGGCCGAGTATATTAATTTAATAGAGATGCACATGACTCAATCAAAACCCGACTTTGATCGAGTTAATCGACAGGTTTGACCAGTTTAACAATTTTCAAAATTATTTTTTAAAAGTTTGGGGATTCAAGGAATTGAACTTTGGACATCTAAATAAAACAATTAATTCCTCACCATTGGAGTTGTAGAGCACTTTAATGTTTTTTATATGCAATAAATTATATGTAACCAATGACTCATATATATTAAAAATAATAATTTTTCTAAAAGTATTTTTATAAAAACTTTGATAAAACATTTTACTTTATTTTATAGACCTAAATAATTAGAAAAAAATAATTTAAAAATAATAACTTTGCCTTAAAAAACCTTCATACTTTTTTTTAATAGATTTTTACATAATAACCCACCGGTTCAACCAGTAACCCAAGACACAATACCTTGTCCAGGTCGATGTCCGGATTGGATCTAATAACTATAGTATTTCATCGCCACTGGAGAGAGATTCTCATGAGATAATGCGGTTTAGATTCCATTCAACATTTGTACACTAGTATGAAATGGCCTATAAGCTTTATATATCCTCCAATGATCGAAATTCAATCAACTATAAACCATATATAGAACTTAATCCGAAAGTGTTGTTGACAACCCAATAGAAGCAATTTATAAAACTAAATCCAAAACTATTCCCAGAAATTCAATAGCAGCAACTTTAATCAATTAAAATAAATCCAAGAATATTTAAAGCCTGTCTGCCCCGGTTTTAAAGCTGAATTTTAATCTATAAATTGACCGTTGAGCCACAATTTTGGACCATTCATCTCACAGGTAGGGCCCACGTATGCTTGTCTGGAGAAAACTATAAGCCAAATTCCACCCGTTATTTTCTTGTACGTGGGCCAAACCTGTAAGATGAATGGTCCAAAATTGCGGCTCAACGGTCAATTTATAGATTAAAATTCAGCTTTAAAGCTGGGGAGACAGGCTCTTAGATAAAAGGTTGCACCGAGATGTTTAACAGATGCGATAGCTTTCATCTGTACTCAGAATGAGAATCTATACATAAAAAACTTTCACTGACCTAAGTGAACAAGCACTGTCGATGCAACAGCCCACCCTCTATTCCAGATTGATCGAGCTTGAAGGGCCAAGGAAAGGAATGCATCAAAGTTGGATTCACAAGTATCACTTAGATTAGATAGAGCCAAAATACACTGTGTACAAATGCCGTGTCTTCCAGGTTCGCAAATATAGTAAATTGATTGTATTTCAAACTGGTGATATGGAAGCTTTGTAAGAACCGCTACAGTACTTCAATCCCTTCAAAAATGCAGAACGCATTTGAGAAGAAAGAGTGGTGTTTCGAATACCAACAGAATCACCACTTTCTTGCAATGGTTTCCCTGCTGTAGCTTGCTGATCCGGTTGTTCTCTGGCTACACCCAGACCAACATTTAAACCAATTGACAAGGATTCTGTTATAAAGCTGCAAATCAGTCAAACAGATACATAAGCAACCAATTGAGTAAGTTTCAAAGAAACACGACCATGTTACATGCAAAGCATAATCTTTTACGATATGGAAAGGGAGAAACTTATATCTCATCCTGCAATTGTATTGAATGATAGAATCAAATTGTATTGCTAAGCAATGACAAAAATTTCAAGAAGCTGTCTGATATCCATTTAGCAAATAATAGTTAGGGTGTGTTTGGTGGTAGCTCTTAAATTGAAAAAGTTAATTCAACAGATGGGCTTTATGGGAATGAACTTCTCAAATGGACTTCCAGAAAACTCAGAATATTAGTAAACCCTCTCTTTCCTCTTATTTTTCTCCTCTAATCATCTAAAGTTGGTCCAAGGTTCAACCCCAAAGGCAACATTTTTTCATGCATAAATTAGATGATCAAGGAATACTGCCCTTACCCCAATCTATCCAACACAATTCCTCACAGCACTGCAGGAACTCTCAAGAAAGACAGGCTAGCTTAACGCTAAACAGTCAGTTGAACTTGCAAAATTTAATTTCAGAAGTGACTGGTTATTTGCCTAATTGATTGTGTTAACCTTTCTACTACTATTTCTTGAGTAATCAAAAACTGGAGATATATACAAGGAATGAAGAAGATGGGTTGGACCTGACTCGATGATTCTAGAGAGAACATTATTCCAGAAAATGCAACAATCTACGTGGTCAACACAATTCAACATTTCAGCAATAATGAAGAAAATGCAAAAGTCTGTAGTTAACACAGCTCAAGTGTCAGCTACAATGAGAATTTGGCATACTTGGCTTCGAAGTCAGTCCCATTAGACTGCATAGCATCGCATACTTCAGAAATTACCCATGGGGGAAGATAGACATCCTTAATTTCAACAATATAACAGATACCCGCAGACGAACCCTGATAAGGTTCACCATCAATACTAGTCCCCTTCAGCTGGGAAGCTATATGATCAGCTCTCCTCACCTCTTTGCATCTAACCTGCATAATCAAGTGACCAAAAATTAATCTCGAGTAAATTTTGCAAAACCAATTGTCCCTTAGTCGCTTAATAAAAGGCTGATGCAGCTACGAATCAGTATTCTTAATTCTATGATTTACTTCAAAAGTACATCCCTAGCAAGTTCTTTAAATTACAAAACCAAAAAACCAGAAGCTGAATTTACACCATTTAACATAGAACTGGATGGATGGATTAAATAAGAAAACACGTTTCTAAAATATAAGAAGTTGATTAAAAGACAGGAACATTGCAATTTCTGTAAAATGTTCATTTTCCGTTACCTTTGTTATTTCTATGTTTTACTCACAAAAATTGAAAGGTAGGAAAAGCCACAGGAAAAAGAAATTGATTAGTCACTGACAGCTACATAATGCAACAACAAAAACAAGCTAAACCGTATTCTGAAAAAACTTTGGACCAACTACATTTTATTTTCCCCATTCCATCTGATCCAGCACTTGAAGACTCGAATCTCTAACACACACGTCGAACCATGTTAGCATTGTTATATCTCTCCTTATTATAACTTGTTCTATTGGGATCACATTACTATTGTGAAAATGAGCTTGTTTAGATCTACACAAGACATGTCCTAACCATTTAAGCTGACATTGCCTTAATTTATCCTCGATTGGTACAGCCTCTATTTGCTGGTTTATGTCTTTGTTTCTAATTTTATCCATTTAGTATGATCAAGTATCTATCTTAACATCCTTATTTATGTTCACTTTATCTTGTGGACCTTTTGCCTTTTAACTGCCCAACAATCTAATTCCATAAAGTATAGTTGGTCTTCTAACTATTGTGCAGAACTTAACTACTTGCACCACTTTTCTATTCCGTCCAACTTGCTCTAATTATTTGTATTAGTCCTTCAATCGAATCTAAGTATCTAAACCAAGTACTCTTTCAAACAACAGGATACTCAATTGTATGATTTAAGGATATGATATACATTTTGAGTTACTTTTACTACGACCCTAGTATCATCAAACAATCAAACGATAATTACGTAACTATAAACAAAAAACTGCACATTGCCTTTATGGTGATACAAATGAAAATGCTGTCAAGCTGCACGGTACAAAAGAAAAGAAATAAATAGAAAAGAAAGAAAATTTGCATCATTACTTTACCAATACCACATACTCACTGGACTCACCTCTGGAGCAAAGAGAGCAGCATTCTGAAAAGGTACTGGTGAATACAACACAGGAACATCCACACCCGTCAAAGAGGCCAAAAAGGATCTGAAAACAAACAGAGAAAATTGAGCTAATGACAACGTCGCATAAAATCATACATACAAATTCAACACTTTTCCTTCTTTGACTGAGAAAGAAAAAAAATATAAACGTGTTTATCAGACTTACCTATAATTTAGTAGAAAATCGTACAATCCATGTACATTCTTATTTCCAGTAAACATCAACAAAGATTCTGGGCTGTTATCAACACCAGTCAGGGTCTCTAGGCGTCGAGTCTGCATCGCTCAGTTGAGTACAAGTTAATGGAAAATCACAGAAGGATTCATCAAGTAACCGCAGATTTTCTCAATTCAACAGAACCTTATTCCATTATTGACTTCAAAAACAGTAATTAGAAAAAAAAAAAA